AGCGATCCAGTAGTCCAATTTAAGTAACCCTTTTTTTTTATTTAGTGTACTCTATAAAAAAAAAAAAAAAAAAAAAGTTTATTCGAATTGAATTACTGGATTGCTGGTAAATAATTTATTCATAAAATCCACATAGCCTCGAAAGGTCATTTACCTAGCAAATATTCCATATGACTCTGCCTCACCGATGAGTGGGTCGACTTGCTGCTTGCCGTACCGATCGATGAAATTTAATTCAAGCTGAGAATAGACTAATAATCGGTGATCAGTTATTCAATGTGGTCAACAAAATTTTATGAGATTGCTAATTAACAAGTTTAAATTTAGAAAGGATGGAATTTTGGAATAGACTATTACACTGTTTCATTATTTCCGGGACAATGAAAAATTGTCGATGACCGAATAGATAAATTTCTGAGTCAGTAATTTATTAAACTCCTACTCAGTGTCGGTCATTTGCAATATTTCAATTGTCTATGAATAATGAAACAGTTGTAATCAACAAATAATACAAACGAGTCGGGAATTTATAATTAATAATACTCGAAGAAAAATGACTAGGGATTTTACAAACTTGAAATTGATATGAGAATCGATTCTAGACCCCAGCCGACTGAGACCTGTGATTTTTTTCATCAGCCTGTATCATTATCAGAATACCATATTATCAAGAACTTATTAAATAGACTATAAAAACTTGAGATTTACCGACAGCTATTTTACTCTAACCAATTCAAACTTTAAAGCTAACCCAGAAAACGATAAGAACAGACACTTACCTTGCATAACGTTTCGCTACCGCTTTGACCCGTGCCAAATCAAATCCCGCCTCTCTTTTAAGTAGTGTCACGTTACGCTGTGTGTTGGTTTTTGTTGGTGACGTTGTTGCTGTGTTTCTCTTGAGTGGAGGTAGTGCTGTTAACCTCCGACAATATGCAAGCATTGACGCTAGCTGCATCGGATTTAAGTGCGTGAGTGAAACCTGGAAATAAATATCATAATTTCAGCAATATGCGTTCGCGTTATTACAAATCGGTAAAACATCCCATTTCGGTTATAAAATCCTACGATTGATACATGTAAGTTAAACAATATAAAAAAAATTAGCTAATCAATTTTGTAAAATGTTAATTTTTTACGTAGTTCCATATTTTATACGGCATCACCCGATGGTGACCTTACCTATCCGGAATTATTCGATATGAAAATTAAACTTAATTTATAATTTACCAAAAAAAAGTATAAAAAATCCGCTCGCCGCCCAAGTTTTAGGATTTCATGTAATAACTTGTAGAAATGTAGTATTTTTTACTAGATAATATGTTATTAAAATATGGTAATTACATTAAATATTATCTATTACCCAGTAATTAAGTAAAGATTTGTACTATATTTACAATATATTTCCTAGTTAAAATATGAAACGAAAAATTAACTTTGCATGGCCTTATATATTTTCTATTAGGATTACTGTAAAATATAAAAAAAAAAAACTTGATTTTTCTATCGTTCTATATTAATTCTATTCTAAAATTAGTTCTATTTTTTTAAGTTTATTATTTAAAAGTATTTTAATAATTACAAAAAGATTGTTTTAGGTTTAAACTGGTTTGTAATCAAAAATCCTATTTAAGATATATCAAAGAAATTTTTTGCATAATTTGAAATTAAGTATAAATACAGGTAATTTTAACCCAGACGTCCATGTCGTTAAGAGAAAAAAGTATTTTATTAGCTCTATTTGCTTGTTTGTATCGAGATACAAGGTATATTCTTGTTTTTTATATTTTATTATTTAGTTCACTAGTCTTATTATGTGTTATTCTATTAATTAAAGCTGTTTTCAAAAAAGGATTCCATTTTTGTTAAATGAATTTCCTGATATTTGATTTTCTGAATAGGTGTCTAAAAATTATCGTTCACTCTTTGTGAAAACAGCTATCTATGATGCAGATTATTTCCAACTTTTGATCGTAAATAAATTTTAGAATAACATTTAATAAGGAAAAAGATTTTCCTTAAGGAGATTCTATTCAATAAATAGCTATCTCCCGTGTGATAACCAATAATCTAAATTAGATTTGGAGATTTCATTAATCTTTCTAAATCTAATTTTGATAGATTATCTATTTAATTACATTTCATTTTAAAAATATAAATCTGCTTAAAATCTTAAATAATATGTATTTATGCATTTTTTTTAATTTTTATTTAAGGCAAGTTTCATTAACAATCTAAAATATGTCTGGATCTTTTAAGGAACTAAGTACCCTAGCCATGCAAAATAATCATAATTTCTGATGCTCCGATCCAACGTATACAAATCAAATAACAAGACCTGATCTGTGTTGAAATAATTTGGTATTACATTATCACTTTTGACTTATCACGAAAAAATCTCACGATGATCAAAGTTCAATTTGTCAGGACCGTATTTATATTATGGTTAGATATTAGTGATATTAGTGAAATTTCTTATTAAAACTTTTGTTAGAAGCATCAAAGTCTATCAATATGCTGCAAAAGAATATCTGGTTGGAGTAATTTGTGCTTGCAACATTCTCCAAAAGTTGCGGTGTATGATGGTCGCAAATTCTTTTCGTAAGTGTTATGTTTTTAAAAGTTAGCGAGATTTATAGTAAGATCGCAAGAAACCTTTACCTAGAGCACAAAAGGTGGTTTCTTATGAGTTTTTTTTTAAATTTTGTCTTGATCGTGCTACAATAAATTTGATCTAGAAATTTTATTAAGATAACATATTTGAACATTTTAAGCAAAAAGGTTTAGAATTAAACGAAGAATATAATATAATTTTTGTTCAATTACTGAAAATATAGACATGCTTGGACACTTGAAAATTTGATTGGACATGCCGAAAAGGCTTGGACAACCAGACAAATGATCATGACGCAGTTACGGAAGTGGCAAGATCAGTAGATCTACATCACATGACTAAACACCGTCATTAGAGTAATATTTAATAAGGTAGCTGCACGACACTGTCGTGCTAAAACCAGGAACGTAGATTTTGATTACAATTATTTAAAGTTTAATAGAGAATATTAAGTGGAGTATGATACAGTATGATACCTAAGAATTAAACCTACAACTTCATTATTGCTAAATAAGCGTTTGACCTACTATTAAAAATTTTACACCAATGATCTAGACTGATATGTTACTCAACAAAATGCAGATCATTTTTTGAACAGCCAATCAGAATCGAGATTTTGTGTACGAACGCCAAAATCGAATTGAATCATCCACTTCGTTTCACTACGTTCCTGGTAAAGCTTAAAGGGAGTCTTTATTTGTTGTGCTTTTTCTATGCTCATTCGAAAGAATAAATTTTGGCTCCATCAAAGATACCTACCCACCACCACTGTCCCGTGTTCACCCCTACGTGTTACTCTATATGACTGAGCAAGTCCGCAACACAAACCCTGAAGGAATGAGACTAAGAATTAGATATATGTTTGTTCTGTAGTTACGCCACACCATTCTAGTACGGCTGCGTATACTCCAAATTAAAATGAGTGGGGATTATTGACGTCAAATAATTGTTATTACACGTAAAAGGGAAATAATAAAGCGCTATTCCTGTATTTTTTTTCAATAAATTAACTTGATCGAAAATAATTTTCGAACAATCTATCTGTAATTTGAATGCAGAAGCTCATATAAATAACGGATAATTTAAAAAATATGTTGCTAAAATAACAATTTAATGCGGAATATTTACATTTGGTTATTGTTATATGCTTGGAATTGGAGTTAAAAAAGATAAATATAAAGAACGAACTTACGTAATAATATTAGGATAGTTCTGTTCGGGACGATGTTGTACAAATTGATTATTTTGAAAGAACATGGCTAGGGTATTAGAAATTATATAACAAGAATTTACATATCGGCGGATTTGTGGAATTTGAAAACCCATGAGCCGTAGCTCTGGTCAAATTTGCAGATAGTTTGGCTAGGTTTGAAATTGTTGACTTCAAACTGACCAAATGATCTGCTAATAGGTTTTTCTATCAGCCAATATGTTTCTAATTAAAAAAATGGTTATTAATTGCAGGTTAATTTATCAAGAAAATGAGCAGTAGCAAATTGTACATTCAAAATGTATTACCTACAGAAATCTTAACTGGCATCACTAAACGCGTAAGACACCCTAAGAAATTAATCTTATGCTGCAGAAGACTGGCAATAATATTTAAAGACCCTCAAGTGAAAGCAGAATGGATTATTTATCAATTTGGTGCTGCAAATTGTCTTTTTTATGCCATCCAATTAGGTCCTTCATTTTTAGATGTAGCGGTTGCGCAGGCAATAATCGCGAAAGGGGGCATAATTTCTAGATATTCCATTCAGAGAATTCATTTGAATTTCGGTTGTTATGATCAGAAGTTAATAGAACTAAAAGCTGCTCACGGGATGGCCTCAGTACAATCAAGTAAAATAATTCCTTGGGCTAGTAATTTACATATTTCTGTTTATATGTTTTTATTAAAAGCAGCATCAGACATATATAATAATGATCTATGCTTAAAAGGCAATGATATGGAGTTATTTCACTTTTTATCAGGCGGCCCTCATACGATCCACTACGCTCCGCTTGTAATGGCAAAAAATATGGATCAAATTAAAGATCTGATATTACATTTCAAATTCATTCCGCTCCCACCAAGAAAATTTGATCATTCCGCAGAAAATAATAATAACAATAGTAGTAATCAAGAAAGTAATTCTATTGAAGAATATCCTTCTAAAGACGGACACGAAAATAATCGACAGCTCAATGTTATCGCACGCGCCATTTTAATCTGTAAAGATATCGTGACTTTATGGAAAGAAATTGGTTATTATGAAATCTGCTATGACGTAAACGATCTCGTAATGCAAGGAGCCCTCCTTATTATTTTCCCACCTACTCCGTCTTCTGGGTGGTTAAAGCCTGACATTAAAGTCATTAATGCGCGATTAACTGAACTAATTGAGCTCGGGTTTCAATTAACTTATTATGTCACTATTGAAATTTTTCTCGTTTTCGAAAGTAGATTAGAACAAATTGGCATCATTTTAATAGAATCATTTGCAGACATTAAACACGAATCGCGCGTAAATTTTTTGCGCAAATGTTTAATAGAAACATTTAATCCAAAATTAAAGTTTAAAAGTCAAAATATTTTAAATTTTTTTTATAAATATCTTCCCGATTCCTCTGATATAGAATTTAATAGAGCATTCGAATTTTATTCAAACACTTTAAAACATAGTATCAAATTGGTCTGATCTAAAATGTAAATTTGGCAAAATCAAAATTTTTAATTTTTTTTAGAAGAATCTTAAATTGGCAAAATCTGGTTCAGATTTGGCAAAATTTAATGCTTTAGATTTTTTTTATTCTTATCTTTTTATTCAAATACTTAAGGTTTTCTAAATATATTTAAATATGTATTTTTAAGTAATTAAGATTTTAAGATTATGTATTAACCAATAAAATTTTTCATTCGAACATACTGAAACCGGCGGGTCGGCGAGTCAGTCGCTTGATATTCCAAATACTTGCGTAACCTACGGTAGGCTTTACTGGAAAGAGGCGTGTTAGGTT